TGTGTATCGTATATATCGACTGACACGATGAATATTGACACTAATCAGTTCTGTACCACCAATGTGCACAAGCCCAAAATACAATTATTGCATACAATTGTGGAAGCTCTCGTATCACACTTACCCTGTTTCATCGATATTTCAGCTTCCTGGAACGTGAGTGTGCGGAAGCCTTGGATGGCGAAACGTATTCTGTTACATACCAAAAGCGCGTGCCCGAGTCAGGCGATATCCACGACTATCAAAGCGTAGGGTATGTACTGCATTAAAGGTTGGTCTAAGTTGTTTATATATATGTATATATATATATATATATATATGATTGACTCTACAACACCCTTGCAGTCCCTAAATAAACCCATACCACTGATTGGGCGTTGGCGGGGTGGTGTATAGTTCAGGTGGAGTGTACCATGACATGCATACGTGGGCGTTCTTGTAGTGATTAGTACCATGGCCGGTACACTTGAGGCTGCCTCTGGGCTGCAGGTAGAATTGTCTACTGTCGCCTATGTTTGTGCTACAGTTTCTTTGGTTGTCAAGCTACGGCGGCACACTGATCCAATGATCCATATAGCTGCAGACACTACTGCCGGTTGCTGATTGGTGTACAGCCCGTTGGGTTGCTATGGTAACACAAGACACCTTTTTATTCACCCATTGGGACTGTAGACACTACTGTCTATGGGTAGCTTGAGCCTTGCTTTATCATTTTTCAAAATTATATATAAACGTATTAACTGAATTCATCCTTTGCCTGCAGTTACTAATGTATAGTAATAATGTGGGCTGTGTTGTACTATGTATTAAACGTACCATATTGACGTATCAACTGAATTCATCCTTTGCCTGCAGTTACTACTATATAGTAATAGTGTGGGCTGTGCTGTACTATGTATTAAACGTACCATATTAACGTATTAACCGAATCCATCCTTTACCTGCAGTTACTACTGTATAGTAATAATGTGGGCTGTGTTGTACTATGTATTAGACGTACCATATTAGCGTATCAACTGAATTCATCCTTTGCCTGCAGTTACTACTGTATAGTAATAGTGTGGGCTGTGCTGTACTATGTATTAAACGTACCATATTAACGTATTAACTGGATTCATCTTTTGCCTGCAGTTACTACTGTATAGTAATAGTGTGGGCTGTGCTGTACTATGTATTAAACGTACCATATTAACGTATTAACTGAGTTCACCTTTGCCTGCAGCTACTACTGGTGGCCATGTGCAGAGGCGGAGCACGAGGGGTTTAACAACTGCGTGCAGAAAACTAAAACTGGTACTGAACCAAAGGTGTGTATACCACGCCTAAGCACTCAGTGCACATCACTACTACGTCACTATCATCTCACGCCTTATCACTCAGAACATGTCATGTTCGTTACACACTATATCGCTCCACCCCGATCAGACACGGCACTTGATGCCTAGCACTTGCTATGGCGTCTCCTGTGAGACTATCCTGAGCTGTGTATGCTGTTACTAGGCGTGTGTGGCATAGCTGCGACACACCAGCCGAGTGCACATGCGAGCGATGCTCTCTGGTGGGCTGCCCGTGGCTTTGTCGCTGTGCATTTGGTGTGTGGATGGTCGTTTGACCATCAGGTTGGCTGTTTGTTCGAGATACATGTGTATGAAGCCGCGGAGAAGTATATGCATATGTATAAATCTTACTAGTACATGTACATATATGCAATACCTTGCTAGTATATGCATATACATATATAGCTTACTAATACATGTGAATATATACAATACCTTGCTACTATATGCATATACACAACACCTAACTCCTTCTTGTCTACATACACACCACCTCCTTATCTACCCGTCCCATCTCCTGCCCTGTGCTGTGCCTGTGCATTACTAGGAGTGTGTGGATGATGCCAAATGGGGGAGCATCCCCTGGCGCTACTGTGACGGCCATCACAATGCCGCAACATTTGAGTACTCGTCGAAGGAGAGCATGCAGCAGATGACCAACCAGGTACACGCACACGCACACGCACTGTCTGTGGAGACAAACACAAGACATCTCTAAGCCTAGCGTTTACTTGCACCCGATGCATGCATTTATGTCTAGACCTTATGTACACCCTCATCATCACATGCATGTATCTCTAGACCTAATGTACACCTTTACTCAACACATGCATGTTATCTCTGACCTAAAGTACACCTTTACTCTTCACATGCATGTTATCTCTGGGCCTTATGTACACACTTACTCATCACATGCATGCATCGCTAGTCTGTTGCATACTTCCACACATTGCATGGATGAGATTGCTTGCTATATAATGCTGTGGTAGGGTGTGGTGTGTGTTTACTTTGAGTCTTGCTATATAGTACTGTGGTTGGGTTTTACGGTTGTGTGCTTGCTTTTATGATTGACCACGTGCCACCCAGCGTATGGTGATCCCATCACACCACACTCACACTCACTCACTAAAGTTTTGGGTTTTAAGGTTTTAGGGTTTACTCAACCAACGCGTCAAGAGCTCTTCCGCAGACACGTCCTTCACATTGCTAGTGTAGCTCTACTCAACAAATCTGTACTAGGCAGAGTTACAATGCTACTTACTAAGTAGTACTATTTAGTACTAAATATACTAATTAGTATTAATTAGTACTAAACTTACTAATTATAATTAGTACTAAACATACTAATTAGTATTGATTAGTACTAAACTTACTAATTAGTACTGATTAATACTAAACTCACTAATTAGTACTAAACATACTTATTAGTATTAATTAGTACTAAACTTACTAATTAGTACTAGTCAGAGCTACAATGCTAGATACTAATTAGTACTGATTAGTACTAAACTTTAATTGCTACATACTATGCACACCCAGCCACGCACGCACACACACACACACACCGCACACATTATGCACCAACCACACCACACCATACCACACCATACCACACCATACTATGCCATACCACACCATGACACACCACACCATGCCATACCACAGGTGAGAGACTTAGCGCTGCTGTGGTACTACACAGAGAAGGACCAATACGCACGCATCGCGAGTCAGCTGCTGCAAGTGTTTTTCCTAGACGAAGACACGCGCATGAACCCCATGCTACAGTACGCCCAGTTTGTGCCTGATCTGTGGTACTTTGAAAGCGCCGGTCTGATCGAGATCACTGGATGGACCGAACTTCTTGAGGCTGTGGTGAGTGCAGGTGGTTGGTGTTAGAGTGATTGCCTGCTACCTACTACACATTACGGTGGCTGTGTGTTTGCTGTAGTGGTGTGTATTAGTGAGTGCGTGTGGTTGCTTGATAGTTGTGTGTGTGTACTTTGCATATCCTTTGGGTGATGATTCTACTGTCGGTGACTGTTGCTGTAGTGGTGTGGGGTGTGCTTGGTCTGTGTGTGGTTGCTTAACCATCAAGTGTGCGTGTATACTTTGCCTATTTTTTTGTGTGATGATTACTCTGTCGGTGTTTGTTGCTGTAGTGGTGTGGGGTGTGCTTGGTTTGTGTGTGGTTGCTTCACCATCAAGTGTGTGTGTGTACTTTACATCACCTCTTGTGTGGTTGTGTGAGGATTACACTATCGGTGTCTGTTGTGGTTAATTGGGCCTTTCGTTGTTATATACATTTGCTGTGATGCCATTCACCTGTGCTACTACGGCACTCGCCCCATTGCTGAAGTGTTGTGTTGATTGAACATCACTGTGGCCATATGTTATGCAATTGTTATCTGTTGTGTGATTGTGTGGTCATTTGGTCTGAATGTTGTCACTGGACAACGTACAACGTACTATTAATTAAGTTGAATGCCACACCAGGCACCGAAAACGCTTGCACACTCTCATGCCATGCCACCTATTCGTATCATACCCTGTACTTAGCTGTATCAAGTGTCTGTCTTGACTATATTTTGTAGTGATCTACGCTATAGTAAACGTCTGCCATTGCAATATATTGTATTGTAGTACCACACCACCATCATACAGCGTGCGTCTCATGCCACACCACATGTTCGCATCCCAGGCTATACTTCGCACGTCCCAGCACTGGAGCAACGCACACCATCGCCAACTCATGGACTGGATGTATGAGCTAATGGAATGGCTACAGACCAGCCGAATGGGAGAGAAGGAGCACTACGCAGGCAACAACCACGCTGTATGGTACTACCAGACGGTCATTGGCATGGGCCTGCACGTGACCGAGGTGTGTATGGGATGTGCCTTATGTGTGGTTCAGTTGCGTATAAAT